ATGCCTACGGCTACCTTTTACCATCGCACCGCTCGCCATCGACAGGGAATTCATCCCCACACGCTGGAACCTAAGTGGTCTCGGACAGTGCGGTTTCAGAGGAGCTTCCTCTCGCGTACACTTAAATTGTGGAATGAACTACCTGCCGAGGTTTTACCACGAGAGTACAGCATGGGGTTTTTCAAGAAGGGTTTTTTTAGGTTCCTAAAGAGTCGGCAACGCGCACGTGACACCTTTGCGTGATTATCGACGTATTTCAGCCGTATAGGCTATGGTAACTATATAGCCGTATGCTTGATTGCCACCATAGTTATATAAACAAACATGAAGTTTTCATTTTTTTATGTATAATAATAGAATAATGCACCCGCCAGCGCTGGAAAAACTGAAAATGTATTGTGTTTTTATTTTGTTAGTAAATATTGTATTAACGCAGAATAAACATTATTCTTTCTTTCTTTTCTTAAAATAAACTTGTTTACCCACAAGTTATTTATTTCTCTTAGATGCAGTGAACGACATCCACCCTTGAGAATAGCTTAAGTATCGTTGTTTATTTGTTTGTACTATATACCATTACATAGTATAAAATAAAGTCGATGTCGCAGTCTGTCCGTTCCTATGTATGCTTAAATCTTTAAAACTACGCAACGATTTTGAAGCGGTTTTTTAATAGATAGAGTGATTCAAGAGGAATCTTCATATATATAATACATGTATACCCCGTGCAAAGCCGGGGTGGGTAGCGAGTTAGTAAAAAAAAGTTCCGTCAAAATCGGTCCAGCACCTTATGTTGCGCGCGCTGAAAACTGCAACCGTTGCGTAATTTAAAAGATACATACGAACAGACAGCGGCAAAAACTTTGTTTTATACTATGTAAAGTATTAGAAAAAAATATTTTAAGTAAGTATTGTTAGCGCCTTTTTGTGAGAAGAGAGTCGTGATTGTGTAATGAAAATCGGAAATTCCTGGTTAATTTTTAATTTACTTGAAAATGGTTTACAATTGTTGCGTATGATAATGCGTATACGATCGTTGATTTCAAATATTGGACTGTAACCGTCGTAATTTTGTCTCTGGCCCGCTGAAACCCGACGATACAGTGTTGCTATATGAAAATACTATTTTGGGCCAATAAAGTACATCCGCGGGTGAACAAGTATTTTAAGTACTAGAAATAATATAGGTACATTTCAAATTCTCGAATTTCTTCGGTGTAATTTAATTTACTGTATTGTAGCGGAATTAAACAAAATAATATAAATCTATCTATATATAATATAAACTACTTTGTTTGTAGCTGTGACGTGGTCGAGTGGAATGAGTAGTCATGCTCACTAAAATGTCCAGACATGTGGCGGCGTGGTGGGCCGGGTCGTTGGGCTCCCTAAAATATGGTAGAGCGCAGTGATGGCTGGCTCATCCGTCACACTCGTGAACGAGTGCTGCTTGTAGGGACTGGTCTGCTCTTATCACTACGACTGATTTAATCTTATTGTGTTTTTGTATTTGAGCCTAAATAAATTAGTGCTGGTTGGTAGTTTGTATTCACACGTTTCGACTTGTAAAATGTGAACATACAACGATTGTTTAAAAGAGCAACACACAAGTTTCTTGGTTATTCTTCTTGTGATGAGACAGCTTTCCGAATAAGCGGTAGATTTGAAAAAAATTATGACTATTCGAAGTGCTTAAATTAAGTTTATTTGAATAAATGATTTTCTATTCTATTCTATTCTTTCAAGTAGTAGGACATTCGCAAAATAACACCTAAGACAATTAAATAAATAATTCAAAAAGCCATTTATTAGAATCTAGCTGTTTCCGCGACTTCTCGATCACGTGGAATTTAACTTTATTTTTCTAAAATAAAAGTGGCCTAAAGAGCTAAAAATTATTTTGTTCGTCTTAATTTATTCGTTCCATTAGGTACTGATAGGTTCAAACTAATACATTTACATCCTGCATCATCCCTTATTTTATCCCCATGGGGATTGAATCTATCAAAATCCTATTTAAACGAACGTCTTCATCATAGTAGCTCCAATCTTTAATTTCAGTTCAATCAGTCGAAAATCTAAGAAGATTTATACAAATTTCATCCCCTTTTTTTCACCTTAGGAGTGTAATTTATCGAAATCCTTTGTTAGCGGATGCCTACGTTATAGTAGCTTTATGCATGCAAAGTCTCAGCCCGATCGGTTTAAAATTGACAAAGTTTCATACAAACTTTCATCCCCTATTTTATCCCTTGAGGGTAGAATTAATCAAAATCCTTTCTTAGCGGATGCCTACGTCATAACACCTACCTGTATGCCAAATTTCAGCCCGATCCGTCCAGTGGTTTGGGCTGTGCGTTGATAGATCACTAAGTCAGTCAGTCACCTTTAAGTTACATATGTATATTTAGATATTCCGCCAATATTTATTGTTTTTATTTAGTTTCTTTTTGTATACCACTCCTCTATTATAATAGAAAGGATAACAAAACGAGCAAAATATAACAAGTTCTCATATAAATGACAAATGGTCGGACAAAAAATAAAATGGATCCGTGCCAACCGCAAAAGCTGTGAAGTTGTGCCAATTTTCTATAAGACTTGTGACAGTACGAAGTTATCTAAGCAATATTCTCAGTAACAACCGCATATACAACGAACTGTTCTGATCTATTGTTTGACATGATGTCTACAGCTACCTTTTACCGTCGCACCGCTCGCCATCAATAGGGATTTCATCCCCACAAGCTGGAACCTAAGTGGTCTCGGAAATGGCTGAGCCGATTTTGACGGGACTTTTTTTGGCAGGTAGCTGATGTAATAAGGAGTAACTTAGGGTACTTTTATTTTAGAAAAAAAGTTAAATTCTAGTGTAGCTAGTTATAAATATAAAAGGGAGTTATTGTTACACTAATATGCCTTAACATCATGGAATATTATAAGTTTTTGGGATGATGGCTAGTATTTTTTATAGCATTTTGTTCACGCTATCTCTGGCGTATCAAATAAAAGAACTTGGACTTTACGTGTACGACACGTAAAAATGAAGAAATTAATAAAATACCTACATATTTTCTATACTATTTAACAATGGTAGCCTAAATTAACTAACTGGGACTTCTGCTAGTGAAAGACCTGTCAAAATCGGTCCAGCTGTTACAGACATTAGTAAGAACAAACAGACAGACAAAAATGTACTAAATAAAATTTTTGATGTAGGCTACGTAAATACTTTCTACAGTATATACTTTTATATGAATTTAGTGTAAAGCTGTTAATTTGAAATTACAAATATACACCTATCTGCGATTTCTGCTAGTGAAAGACCCGTCAAAATCGGTCCAGCTATTACAGACACTAGTAAGAACAAACAGACAGACAAAAATGTACTAAATTAAATTTTTGATGTAAGCTTCGTAAATCATTTCCACTCTTATATGAATTCAGTGTAAAGCTGTTAATTTGAAATTAAATTCAAATTCAAAATATCTTTTTTCATGTAGGTCTATTACAGACTCTTATGATATGTCAAAACTACCGTCAGTTCGGAATGATATCGAGATGAGAGGAACTGACAAGAAACTCAGCTCGTATTTTTTTCAAATAATAGTGGAACATGTTTATAATAATACACAGTCATAAAAATTCAAATTTGGGAGAATAGAGTGACCACCAGCATAGGCTATCGCAAAGAACAAAAAATTTAATCAGTGTTCAGCCATCATTGCACTCAACCATATTTGAGGAAGCACATCGACCCGGCCCACCACGCCGCCAGAACAAACAGACACTTAAATTTTATTTATTTTTAGGTATACATGAATAATTATTTAGTATAGGTACAAAAGGCATTTGAAAAGTAACACTCCCTCACGGGCTGTTTCTTGTCAGTACTTCCTGGTAAGTCAGTTTTTTTTACCACTATGGTGGCAAACAGGCATATGGCCCATCTGATGGTAAATGGTTACCGTAGCCTATGGACGCCTGAAACACCAGGGGTGTCACGTGTGCGTTGCCGACCCTTAAGAAACCTTAATATACCCTTCTTGAAGAACCCCATGCTGTAGTCTCGTGAGGAAACCTCGGCAGGAAGTTCATTCCACAACCTAAGTGTACGCGGGAGGAAGCTCCTCTGAAACCGCGCTGTTCGAGACCACTTAGGTTTTCTACTGACGGTAGATTTGGCTTATCATTGGAGTCTGTGATAGACCTACATGAATGAAGATATTTTGAGCATAGAGCTGATGTTGCAAGTAGAAGAAATATAGGTAAGTATAGGTTAATAAAGTCTATATAACGACGACCTCGGTGGTCCGCTAGTTCAGCACACCGCCTTACTTCCGATGGTCGCGGATTCGATTCCTCGCTCGGCACAAACATTTGTATTCATGAGTGTTTGTGTCGGTCTGGGTGTTTTCTATCTATAATATGTATGTTTTAAAAAATATATAGTTATCTGGTACCTATAACACGAGCTTTAGCTAGCTGAACTTGGGACTAGATGGCGCTGTGTGAATTGTCCTGATATTATTATTATTATTATATAAGTATATACATATATTGCATAATGTATTATTTCCTTTGTGATTATTAGTTCATTCATAATTTCTCAAGAGAAATTATTCCAATGACGCAGGTGACTCTACCAATGATAAAAACGGCAGTGTCCTCAGGCAGGCCATATGCTTGCTTTAAAAACATTTACAGTTGTTCACAAGTATTTAAATATAAGTTGATATCATAAACAAATTTTAGTAGTAGATATATTCATATTACATTTATTTTCGGTTTTAAAAACAAAGAATGCAAAATCAACTGATCTAGTAGCGGCGGAAGGCCATTATTTATGTATAAGAACAATGCTGTAACTGAACAATATCATCAATTGTACCATCTGATAAAAAAAAAACAAATTTCATTATCTATGATTAGATAAATAAACGGTCCCCATAGACTAACGCACATAATTATATCGATTTATAATAACAAGAAAAACTCACCCAAAAACAAGAGAATCCGTTCTGTTTGTTCAACTTTCCTGCGGCCAAAACTGTATTTAAAACAATATTAATGTTGGTTATAAAGATTTGGAGTAATGTCTATGGTTTCACTGTATTTTTTTATTCATTATTTGTGTGATTATTTAGCTGTATGCGATTCTGTTGCCGCGAGCGACGTCCGGTCGCGTTGTTGGCCGCGCGGGACTGCCGAAATGGCGGGAATTGTGACATGCGCTTTCGGCCAGAAATCGATGGGGTTGTGGCGAAAATGGCTTTTATGGAAAAGTGGCTCCTACCAAATTTCGTTGTCAGCTATTTTTAGATTACTTTATCCTTATACTGTTTAAATAAAACATTCCGTCTATTTCTACGCGTTATATATTATATTATAACTAATTCTTGTATTTTTACTAAATTAGATGAGATTTATAACGGATTCTAACATTATAGACTTGGCGTAGGTAATACCATTGCTTTTAATCTATATCCTGATATTCAAAAAATAGAAAATTCAATAAAATTTTCACAGTAACGATAGTATCGATAAACGATATATATCGATAAAGGATTGTGGACAGTTTTTCATTTTTTGTTCAGTATTTTCGTAGACAGTAAGACAATTCTAAAATCTGTGTAGGTACTAAGGAATTTCTTGAGTTAATATTCGACGTCTCTGAGTGCAGCGTTAAGTATAAATATTTAAAATATAGTTTATTATAAATATTAAACACTAATATGCGTACTGAGAAACTTTTTATAGGTACTAGCAGGCTGCCCAGGTTTCACTTTTTTTTATGGATGACAATGGAATGGTGTACCCACCTGCGCTAACGGTTTACACTGGCAGAGCATCAGTGGGGGATGACAAGATGAGCATGAGGTCAGGTCAGTTAGCCCATCGCGACAAATTTACCAGGAATTTATGTTTAATTTATATGATACAGGAAAGTCCATCAATTGGTTGTTTTAAGAAAAGGTTGAAATCACACTATTTATCGACCTTAGTATGATTAGTTTCATCATGTATTTTATTATTTGTATTTTGTTTAATATATGTAGATATCTATAGTAATTGTATATGTATGTATATATATATATATATAACTTTTATTAATGATTATTTTATTTATTATTGTATATCTTATTATAATTATAATATAATTAGAACTTTATTTAATTTGTTGTATTTTAAATGTTTTATTTTTCTCAACTTTTGGACAGGTTGCACAGGTGTTACCTACTCACTAATAGCTATGCCACATTGTTGGGTTGACTGGTAGAGATCTCTCTTAGAGATAAGTCCACCTTTGCTCACTCTGTATATGTTTAAGTTTAGAACTGAATTTAAAAGTGCAATAAAGAATATATATAAATCGTTTAAGTATTTTTAAATATAACCATTGCAAAGATATATATCGGTATTTCCTGTTTATAACATTAGTTTCATTAGCAACAAGGGGAAATATGTCAGAGACGAAAAAGAGATCGGTGGACTGTGTTAAAGATTACAAGTGAGTGTATAACGACACGACTGCGAACAGAGAAAAATGGAAGAGAAATACATATTACGCCAATCTCAAATTACTCATTAATTTGAGATTGGTTAATAAAGAAGCAGATAATGAAATGAACATAAAATGACTAGCTTATAATAACATATCATAGCAGTTAGAAGTTAGAATTACACTAATGAGTGCGTAGCGATTTCTATGTTGATTATCGCATGCCTCTTACTTGTTACACTGTAATTATTATATATAAAAAAACATCTATTCAAAAGGGGAACACACGAGTTTCTTGCTCATTCTTCTTGTGATGAATCTGCATTCCGAATGAGTAGAAACAAAATATGACTATTCAAAATTGCTTGTAATGAGTTTATTTGAATAAAGATTATTTCTATTTCTATAAATACGTACCTATAAATAATGCACTTTTCAACATACTATATTTGTTTAATTAAATTTTTAAGTAAACGGCCTAATTATAAATTCTCTTTTCCAACAAATTTCTCATTTCATTGTCTTATTTGTGGAGCGTTTTTTACCCTTAGATGATCTCCACTTCTCCCCTCACAACCATCTCTTGCCACCTAAATAATTTCTTGCTCTTAAGACTTTATTTTCCCTGAAGACCATTATTTTTGATAGCACAAATTATACTCTTTCTTTTTCTTACCGCTCTCATCTTTCATTGTTTTTCTCCCGCCCTCGTAGCGGTTTCTATGTTGTTTGTCGCAGGCCTAATCCTTGTTAATGTAAATATAAATAGAACAATATTTCTTTAAAAGAGCAACACACAAGTTTCTCATTCTTCTTGTGATGAATCTGCATTCCGAATGAGCGGTAGAATAAAACTTGACTATTCCAAAGTGCTTATATTAAGTTTATTTGAATAAAGATTATTTCTATTTCTATTTCCACCTTCGTCTCTTTCTCGGTTTAACTTCTAATCTTAATACTAGATGTCTCTACAAGTCTATTGCTTCTAATTTAACCACTCTTCACGACAGAAGTCACAACACAAATAAAAAACTTTACCACCAGTTATAACGCATTTACCCCTTCATTATCATCGCCTTGTCTTCATCACAATTGATGCTAGTAATAACACCCTTGCACAATTCACCAGCAGGGTGAAAGGGATTTTTAGTTATGTGGACTAACAAACCCACCATTAGTAATGTACCATGTCAGATAGACCTCCACGTGGATCCCCCTGGGAACCATCATGATAAATTTTAGGTGAATTTACCACAATGCGCTAACTGACCTGACCACGAGGTCATCTTATCATCCTCCACTGGTGCCCCGTAAACCATAAGAATTCATATAGCTTAAGAATTCGCTATCTTTTCCAAAGCTAAGTAGAGCTTGTGTTTTGGGTACTAGACAAGTAATGCAAATAGTCACTGATGCCCCGCCAGCATCTGATATTATTAGACCAGGCAGGTGCACCGTTATTTTATTACTAATTAAAAAAAACTTCTTCCGGGCTGCGATGATGATGATGATGATGAAAAAAAACTTAGCATCAGGTCTGAACTAACTTAGCATCATCACCACAGAAGCATTTACCATATCATTGCTTTGGCTTCATGCCATTATTTGATATCTGCTTCCACTGATTTCTATCAGCTTTCTCTTTCAGACAGTCATCTTTTCGTCTTTCAGACAGTCATCCAACTTCTTTTTACCATCCTCTCCATACATCTCATATGTTAAACTGCTTTCACTGATTTCTATCAGCCTTTCTTTTCGTCTTTCAGGCAGTCATCCAACTTCTTTTTACCATCCTCTCCATACATCTCATATGCTAAACTGCTTCCACTGATTTCTATCAGCCTTTCTTTTCGTCTTTCACACAGTCATCCAACTTTTTTTACCATCCTCTCCATACATCTCATATGCTAATCTGCTTCCACTGATTTCTATCAGCCTTTTATTTTCGTCTTTCACACAGTCATCCAACTTTTTTTACCATCCTCTCCATACATCTCATATGTTAAACTGCTTCCACTGATTTCTATCAGCCTTTCTTTTCGTCTTTCACACAGTCATCCAACTTTTTTTACCATCCTCTCCATACATCTCATATGCTAAACTGCTTCTGATTTCTATCAGCCTTTCTTTTCGTCTTTCACACAGTCATCCAACTTTTTTTACCATCCTCTCCATACATCTCATATGCTAAACTGCTTCCACTGATTTCTATCAGCCTTTCTTTTCGTCTTTCAGGCAGTCATTCAACTTCTTTTTACCATCCTCTCCATACATCTCATATGCTAAACTGCTTCTATGATTTCTATCAGCCTTTCTTTTCGTCTTTCACACAGTCATCCAACTTTTTTTTACCATCCTCTCCATACATCTCATATGTTAAACTGCTTCCACTGATTTCTATCACCCTTACTTTTTGTCTTTCAGACACTCATCCAACTTTTTTTTTAATACCCTCTCCATACATCACATATTCTAAAAAAATGGGGGTAGAGCTAAAATAAAACAGTTATATGTATCCATATTTGTATTTATTATGCACGGTAGCTCACAGCGACTACATCTCTAATGGAAGATATTACAATCATCGTAGTCCGCGGTGCACTTGCTCATCTGTGACTTAAGTTAGGTTAAGTTCCAGTTAATTGTGTATCTCTTATCGAGTTATGTCCCTAATCAGCTTTTTAAGTAACCCGTCTTAGGTAGCTCTTAACAAGTTACCCAGGAATTGTTGCGTTTCAAGTCTATGCCGGAGCAAAGGGGCCCCGAGGCCCCAACCTTCACGCGAATGACCAGTATCAGTCAGTCATCTGTGTCAGTCAATCGATTGACACAATCGACTACACATATGACATCTTATATCAAGCTTGCACTATAATCGAGATGTTAAATCGATAAATATGATTAATATGTACAACTGGTTACTTGTTTAAATCATCCATTTATAGTCTAGATATTAGTATTTATTATGAATTTTATAAAATGTCAATACCATTTGGTGTATCTGTGACTTTGTATCGATTGACGCATATAATCTATTCTCTATTTGACATATCGATACCTTGTAACGCGCTTATGCCAGCACTATACCATCGTCTAACACTTCAATATGACTAAAACCCGTCCTAACTTCGTATCCTTTAATACAGGATGGGAAATTTTAAGAGGAGATAGGTGGATCTTATACCATACGCGAAGGAGTGAACAAAAATGTAGGTATAACTATTTTACATTTGTGTTACTTTTAAAATTTTATTCATTGTCTGGTATTTTGCATAAAAAATAAAAAGACGCTAAAGCACGCACCATTGAAGAACGCAGGAATGCGGACACTGTTTGCGCGCGCGGTGTTACTTGTTCTTTGTTACATGCTTTCTCCGCGCATTCTTTCTCGTTCTCTTTGTCTACATTTACATGCACATTCTTTCCTGCGTGAAGGCCGATTCGCGCGTTCAAGAGCGTACTAGTAAAGGCAGGTAATAAGTATGTCATTCTTCTCACAATTATAAACTGTTAATTAGAAAGAAAACCAATTCTATGTGAGAAATGTTAGAACGTACTGCGTAAAATAAACTTCGCGATTTAATCGCCGAAGAGTCAACACTCTAATCAACGTCTGATCATGCCTCGTTCAGAGGCGAT